ACCCGGGGAGGACCACACCACCTGGGGGGTACCACATTACCCGGGGAGGACCACACCACCTGGGGGGTACCACATTACCCGGGGAGGACCACACCACCTCCCTCTACACAACACTAGAGAAACTTACGCTGACAGAAAAGAGGCAAAATGCCCAATTACTATGAGAATAGGCTACGTCTGATCTTTTAGAACTGTTTAGATACAATACTTGAGGCATATTTATACTAAATATTCTTCATTATTTAACTCAAAGTACTTGTGTTACAGGATGTCCTATCTTTCACCCGATGTATGTTTGTGTGTACACATGTGCACGTCCGTGTTTGTGTGCGTGGAACCGAGGACAATTTGAGGGTCATGTGACAGGCATCAAGTTTATCTTTTGTTAGGTTATTTTTATTAGTTCTCTCTCTGGCCTGCAGCTTACCATGTAAGCTAAGCTGTCTGTCCAGTGAGTCCAGGGACCCCCTTCCACTGCCTTCTCATTGCTGGGATCACAAGTGTGCACTGTAACACCTGACAATTTTTTAGAGGGCTGGAGAGATGGCTGTCACCTCTGAACTCTGACCCCATGCTCTCTCTCTCTCTTTTTTTTTTGAGACAGGGTTTCTCTTTATAGCCTGGGCTGTCCTGGAACTCACTCTGTAGACCAGGCTAGCCTCGAACTCTCGAACTCAGAAATCCGCCTGCCTCTGCCTCCCAAGTGCTGGGATTAAAGGCGTGCGCCACCACCGCCCGGCCCATGCTCTCTCTCTAACAGAGGACCTAGGTTCACTCCCAGCACTCACAAGATAGCTCTCAACCATCTATAACTTTGGATCCGGGGGATCTGCTGCCTTCTTTTGGCCTCTGTGGGCATCAGGGACGTGTGATTTGTAGTCATACATGCAGGCAAAACCCTCATCTATATAAAATAAAAGTCTGTTTTAGAAAAAGACTTTTATTATTATTATTTAGCATTGGGTCCCCTGGGACTGGAGTTTTAAGTGATTCTCAGCTGCCTGACAAAGGTGCTGGGAACCAAACGCAAGCTGTCTGCAAGCAACAAGTGTTCTTAGCTGCTGAGCTGTCTCTCCAGCCCCTACACGTGGCTTTTGATACAGGTTCTGGGGCTCAAGCTCGGGCCCTCTAGCTCTCTGCTGATGGCACCATCACCCTGGCCCTGATTTGGGCCTTTATTTGCTGAGTACAGTGGTCCTATATCAACCAAGCCCCAAGAAAACAGGGTGGTTCCCCACCCAGACAAAACTCCAAGGCCTTTACCTCAAGGTCGGCTTCAGTAAAACCAATGACGGAGAAGGCACTGCACACGGTTTCCCAGTCATTCTTGTCATTGGTGAATGACTCTCTGGCACAGTGACCCTGCGGTAAAACTGCATCAATGAGTGGTATTTTTAAGGACAATGGAGGATGCAGATACCTGTTCCTAGCTCTAAGCGACTTTCTAACCATGGAGAACCAACTTCTGTAATGTCCTGAACTGTAAACAAGAAGGTTTTAATCTACCTAGCAGAGATCATTTTTTTTCCTTCTAAAACCAAATTTATCTCTAAAACATCCCTGTCCTGAGAAACTTTCATAGCTACTGAATTATATTTTCAGGACCTGTCTTAAAGCACCTTTTCGGTTTTGTTAAAAAACTGGAAGTCATGTGTCTAGAAGGGAAGATGGTGACCCGTGCAAAGAAACAGCCGTGCTTAAACTTGGAAGATGGCCCTGATGCACTTTGGGGATATTCAGCAAAACCCTCCTGACTGTAGGGATAGGACTGGAGGCCACTCTGCTGAAGGAGAGGCTGTGTGCACTTACAGACCGGCAGCAGAGGTGGCATCAGAGTTCTCAATGAATTCTGTGTTGCTTTTTAAATAAGAAACAGACCCACTAATGTCATATTTTAAATCTCGTGCACTTACTTATCATGTGTGTACATGTGTGCAGGCACATGTATGTCAGGGTACATATGTGGAGATCAGAGACAACCCTGCGGGGGTTCTGTTCTCTGCCTCTGCCGTGTGGAAGCCCAGGATTCAATTCAGGCTGTCAGACTTTGAGGCAAGTGACTTTATTCCTTAGGCTGTGCTGCTGGCCCAACAATGTCACAATTTAAAGAGGAAACAGTGTAGATATTTTAAAACTTATTTCGCATTTGGGGTATAAGGGACTCCCAGTTTGCTGGTTACCTGAAGGTTTATCGTCTTAGGATATTTCTGTATTATACACAGCATCCGTCAAAGAGTCAGCCAGACAAAACTCACAATTTTAGGAAACAAGAGTTTCATGTCTGTGAGTTCTAATAGCCTCACATTCGACCAAAACTATTCAGGTAAGTTGTATCTCACTGAGCGTGTGGAGACATCTCTTCTTCTTACTCTCCTAAACAGTGTAACAGTGTACACAGTGTATACAGTGTAACAGCTATTTATGGTCTCTGTGTGCACACAGTTCCAAGTCTGTGTGTGGAGGTCAGAGGTCCACGCTGGGTGTCTTTCTTGATGAACCCCCACCTTATTTTTGAGACAGGGTCTCTGACTGGCCATGGAGCTCATGGATTTGATTAGACCGGCTGGAAGGAGCCACAAGGCTCCTCCGTTTTGTCTCTGCTTCTTCACTTTTTGTGTGGCTATGAGGGGTTCAAACTCAGGTTCCCTTTGACTGACTGAGCCATGTCCACGGCCCACATAACCACCTGGAAATTAGCATTGACATAGTGTCTGGGCCTGGGGACAACTTAGCCCATATGGGAGGATGCATAGTCTGTCATGTGCAAACACTTCGCCCTTTTCTATAAAAGACTCAGACATCCTTGGATGTTGCCATCCATGAGGGGTCCTGGAATGGGTCCCCGTGGGACCTGAGCAGCTATTCCCTCCACACATGACATCTGCTCCTGCCTCCTGCAGGCAAAGGGTGTGCAGATCTGTCCCTCCGAGACACACACTTGGTCTAGAGCAGTGCGAAGTGCAAAATGAAGCTGGAGTTCCCGGGTGTTGTGGGGTCTCAGGGAACAGAGTCAAAGCAAAACAAACCCGCATTAGCAAATTGCTAGGACTGCTCCTAAACCACAGTGGCACATAGGGATTTGATTGAAGCAGTAGGTCCAGGAATAGAATCTATAAGAAAAAAGGGGTGTGTGTGTGTGTGTGTGTGCATCTGTGTCTCTCTGTATATATGTATGTATCTCTGTGTCTGTGTGTGTGTATATGTGTGTGTGCACACACTTGTATGTGTGTCTCTCTCTGTGTGTATATATATCTCTGAGTATCTGTGTGTGAGTCTGTATTTCTGTGTACATGTATGTGTCTCTGTGTGCGTATGTCTCTATCTCTGTGTCTGTGTGTCTCTCTGTGTGTATATGTGCCTCTGAGTCTTCCTCTGTGTGTCTGTATCTCTGTGTGTCTCTGTGTGTGTGTATGTATGTATATGTGTGTGTGTCTGTCTGTATCTCTGAGTCTCTCTGTGTATGTATGTGTCTCTGTGTGTCTCTGTGTGTATGTGTCTGTGTGTGTATATATGTGTGTATGTCTGTATCTCTGTGTCTCCGTGTCTCTCTGTGTGTATGTATGTATGTGTGTCTGTCTGACTGTCTGTATCTCTGAGTCTCTCTGTGTATGTATATGTCTCTGTGTGTGTATATGTATGTGTATGTCTGTATCTCTGTGTCTCTCTGTGTATGCATGTGCCTCTGTGTGTCTCTGTGTGTATGTGTCTGTGTGTGTTTGTGTGTATGTGTATCTCTGTGTGTATGTCTGCATCTCTGTGTCTCCGTGTCTCTCTGTGTGTATGTATGTGTCTCTGTGTGTGTGCCCACGCACACGCGCACATGCACACACGTGTATATCCATGTCTCTCTTGGACCTCCCAGCATAGAGATGTGATTCTCAGAGGGCAGAGAAGTTGCTTGGGGAAGAGAGCGAGGTTTCTGTCATTTTCCTCTTATCCAGTCAATCCCTCTAGCCATGCACAGAAATGACAGAGACACGTGGCCAGGCTGGGAAAACCAGGTCCCTTTAAGAAATGCAAAACAAACTAAGTCTTTCTCTGTTCTGAGGACCAGCTGCCAGCTCATCAGGAACCTTTGATCCTTTTTATCTCCTTAATTCATTCAAGCTTTCTCCCTGAGGGCTCTGGGCAACACCAGTCCTCAGCTTACTCACTTTATAAAGCGCTCTCTCTCTCTCTCTCTCTCTCTCTCTCTCCTTCATTCTGCTTGGTGACCTCAGGTGACCTCAAGGCCAGGCCCAGTGAGAAAGAAAAGGGTGGTGGGGGGGAGAAGAGCTTTAGGCAAAGAAAGGTGTTAGTCAACCGGGGCATCTTATAACCCTGGCACAGGCTGCGGAAAAATGAATGCTTGGGAGTTAAACATGGAAGGTCCGTCCACAGGGCTAGCTCCCAGGACTGGTCTGAGCTGCTTTCCTTTTGCAGCTGAGCTCTTAAAGCAGAGCACAAGGAGTTCTTGATTGGGCAGAGAGGAGCTGCCATGCCTGTCACACCTCACCCCCACCCCATACCCGCCAGCAACTAACTGTGTGTCTGTGTCTCTCTGTGTGTATATGTATGCGTTTCTCTCTCTGTGTATGTGTCTCTGAGTGTGTGTCTATGTGTATGTATGTGTCTCTTTATGTGTGTATGTGTGTGTGTCTCTGTGTATGTATATGTCTCTCTGTGTGTATATGTGTGTGTATGTGTGTCTCTGTGTGTATATGTGTGTGTGTATGTGTATGTATGTGTCTCTCTCTGTGTGTATTTGTGTGTGTGTCTCTGAGTATATATACATGTGTGTGTATATGTGTATATGTGTCTCTCTGTGTGTGTATGTGTCTCTGTGTGTATATGTGTGTGTATATGTGTATGTGTGTGTTGTGTGTCCAATCTAAGGGGAAGGTGTTTGTCACTGGGACTCCAAACTGGGACCTTGGGCATTCTCAGCAGGTGCTTTACCACAGAGCTGAATCCTCATAACAAGGAAGCTTAAATTTTTAAACAGCTCCGGCAGCCCCTTCCCACCCTGGAAGGACTTAAAATATTGGAAGGTCAGCTCTAACATCTGTCTCTTCACCCAGTGCTGGGTTTTGAACCCAGGGACTTGTAATGCAAGAAGCCACTGCTCTCTTTGGTTCTAAGATTGCTCAGAGGATTCTAACTTCTGCTGGGAACCAGACACTGGGCTGCCTCCCTGAGATGTCAGTCTCGAAGGGAAGATGCGTTAGCTTGCTTGGGACAAGCTTCATGGAGGAGAGAACAGGTAGAGCCGCAGACACCCCCGACCCCTTCCTCCCAGAGGCGGCTGAAGCCGGGCACTGCTCTTTCTAACCTGTGAGAGGTACTTGTACAGCTGGGGGTCTCGCTCGAGTCCCAGGGAAGCGAGGCGCCCCGCTTCACCACCCGCTAGCAGCTGGTAGAAGATGTGGAAATTCCGCTCGCCGTGGTTTTGATAGACGACTCGGGATTTCTCGATCAAGTAACTGATGATATGGCCGCCTACAGGAACGCCCTTCAAAACAGAAGAAGACGCAGGTGGAGGACAGGCCCCTCCCACAGCAGACCCGGAAAAACAGCAGCGATTTAGCCTAGGTGACGTTTTCAGGGGGCAGGGAAGAGGAGGGGAAAGTCTTATCCATCCAGATTAGCTTCAGCTTTACCATGTAGTCCAGGCTAGCCCGGAACTCATGTTCTTCCTGCCTCACCTCCCAAGCACTAAAATTACAGTAAAGCATGGTGGCCAATTCAGCCTTGTTACAATGTGAATGAACAGCAATCTCTCAGGGTCAAAGGTTGATCCCTCAGGGTCAAAGGATGATCTCTCAGGCTCAAAGGATGATCTCTCAGGGTCAAAGGTTGATGTCTTTTCCTTAGGCTCAGTTTTTGTTCAGTCCGAGATCACAGAGATATTTTCTCTACTTGTTTTACCGTTTAATGTTCCAGACTATGGTCCAGCCTGCTCATTTTAAAATAACTTAAAATTTGTATTTATTGGTGTGTATATATGTGTATGCGCACGTATGCACACACCAAAGCATGTATGTGGAGACCAGAGAACGCCCTTCAGGATTTTATTCCCCTCCCCCTCTCTCCCCCCCTGCCTCCCCCCCCCCGGGGGTGGATGTTCCGGGGATTGAACCTTGGCCATCGGGCTTGTGCACCAAGTACTTGTAGATACCAAATCATCTTGCCAACCGACACTATTTCATTTTTGTATGTGGCGTGAGGCAGACCTCTTCTAAACTCATTATTAACAGTCCGAGTCAATAAAAGCATCACTCATTGGAACGATGACATCATCCCTGCTGAATCTCAGTGGTGATTTTTTTTTAAATGCATTTATTTTATGTATATGAGTGCGCTGTCGCTATCTTCAGACACAGCTATGTGGCACACACATCCATAAACACAGATTTTTAAAGCTTAGATATTTTAATCACATTTAAATAGCTGTGTGTGTCTTGGGAGGGGAAGACACGCGTTCCTCAGTTTGGGTGTGGAGGTCAGAGGACCACTCACACTCACGTGCAGGAGGAAGTTCCTCCCTTCTAACATCTGGGGCGTGGGGATTGAACTCAGACCATCAGGCAGAGTGACCAGTGACTTTACCTGCTGAGCCATCTCCCCAGCCCCACCTCAACCCTGTAGTAATCTAAAGGCCTCAATAAATTACTACCGTTCTACCTAAGATGGTCAAGAATTACATCTGACAATGCTGGGTGTGGGTGGAGACGTGGGTGGCTAAGATCCCACACACATGGCTGCTGGGGCTCACGGTGAACCCATTAGAAAGTGACCATTGCACTAACATAGGCTCCTGTGGAGTAAAGCTGTTGTCCCAGAATACAGAGTTCTGTGGCACACAACCCAGCACTCAGGAGGCAGAGACAGGAGGATATCCATGGATGTGAGGCCAGCCTGAGCTTTGTAGTAAGTTCCAGGGCTACAGTGTATATAATAACATTGAATTCCAGGCCTGTCTGGGCTACAGTGTATATAACTACATTATATACACTGTATTATATTATGTAATATAATATGCATAATATAATACATTATATAATATAACACAGTGTATTATATATTACATTCCTGGCTTTCCTAGTCAGCAGGATACTTTTGGAAAGCCTATTTGCTCTAGACAAAGCTGTCCACTTGAAAAAAATATATTTGGTGTGTGTGGGGATTCACACTCATACCACAGAACTTGTGAGGCAGTCAGAGGGCAACTTTCAGGAATGGGTGCTCTCCTACTATGTGGGTCTCAGTAACCAGACTCAGGTCCTATGCAGCAGACCCCTTAGCCCTTTGTAGCCCAGGCTGGCCGCAAATCCATGGCCTGGATTCTGCTCAACCTCCTGGAGTGTTGGGATTGCGTGCCACAGCACCCAGCTGTCCCCTTGATTACATGACAACAGCTTCCGTACCCAAGAGCCTATGTTAGAGCGATGGCCATTTGCTAATGGGTTCTAATGGGTGTGAGTTCCTAGCCATCCACGGCCCTGCCCACACCCAGCGTTCTCAGATGTTATTCTTGACCATCAACGGGCAGAACTATGGTAACTGGCTCAGAGGTAAAGCGCTTGCTCTCCAGTGTAAGGGCCTGGGCTGGGATCCTTAGCACACGTCTGTAATCCCAGCGCTTTCAACGAGACCGGAAGTAGAGATTCTCAAGAAGCTCACAGATGAGCTAGCCTGACACTCACAGTGCTGAAAGGAGACCATGTCTCAAACAGGGTGGAAGATGGGGACACCAGAAATTGTCCTTTGACCTCCACGTGGGTGTCACGCTACATGCCCAAGAATGTAGCCATGTGTACATGCATGCTCGAGCACACACACACACACACACACACCCCTACACACTTTAACAAATTATCCTGACCTGCATTTTCCCACTGTTTGGGTCAGTAATGCCCTTCTCCTGAGGGTTACCTTGCCTCAATAGGGGTCTCCAGAGCCGTGTACAGGAATTTCAACGTACCTGGAAGTCGAACTGTATGTCCATGTACTTCCCAAATCTGCTGGAGTTGTCATTACGGAGGGTCTTGGCATTTCCAAAAGCCTTTGAACACAAACGTCACACACAGTCACTTTGGCTCACTATCCTTGGCTCTCTGCCCCCAAACGATATGGCAGTGGGGGACAGTAGGGGGCGCTAGGGAGGGAAACCACACTGTCTTCTTAAAAAGTAGTCATTAAGTTCAGAAGATACAATCCTAGTGCCATATTTGGACACAGGAAAAGCAGGGGAGAGACCCCTCTAGAAGCTCCGAAGGGATGAATCTGTTAGAAATGACCCAAAAAGGTATGTGACCCTCGATGCTCTGTGACTGGCAGCCTGTCACCCCATCCCTCCTCACACCTAAGGGCCAGTTGCAACCCCCTGCCTAGCCTGGGCATCTCTTACAGACAGGACAGCCACACGGGAGACAGTGACTTGTTCTGTATCAGAAATGCAAATGGGTACATTACATTGTCACAGTAGAAACCACAACCCAGGGCTGGAGAGATGGCTCAGCGGTTAAGAGCACTGACTGCTCTCCCAGAGGTCCTGAGTTCAATTCCCAGCAACCACATGGTGGGTCACAACCGTCTGTAATGGGATCTGATGCCCTTTTCTGGTGTGTCTGAAGACGGCTACAGTGTATTCATATTCATAAAATAAATAAATCTTAAAAAAAAAAGAAACGGCAACCCAGATGACACTGATTCCAGTAAAAGTCACGTGTGCTTTACAGCTTACTAACCCCACGTGTTTTTGCCGCTCATCCCACTGGACCCTCGAGAGCTCTGGAGAGTCCGATACTCCTAACAGACACACTCCTCAGCTGGGAACATGGGCTGTGCTGAAACCTGCTGGATTACATCCAAGCCCACCTCTGAGGTCATATCCCTCGCTGTGACAATGCTGGTGAAGCCCCTGTCCTCGGTAGTTACATGCCTAGTTTTACTGCTATACCCAGGCAGGGGACTGCTTTTGCTTGGGGACTTCCTGGAGGCCACTCACCTCCAGAACTGGGATGGAGAGCAGCAGTCTGTCTCGGGCTATTTGTAGGGACTCCGTCATTGGACAGGTCACTGCGAAGTACTGGAGAATCTTCTTGGAGGCCTCCGTCTTCCCAGCCCCGCTCTCTCCAGAAATGAGGATGAAGTGGTTGTTGAGCTCTGAACACATCATGCGGTAGGCGTTGTCGGCGATGGCGTAGCTAGGGAAGGAGCGGACAGAAGCACGCTGGTTCTCTGTGCTGCTTGCTTGCCCTGACTCTAACACCTACTAGGCAAAGAGACAAAATCCCCTGCCTCCGGGAAGCCACGGCTAGACTATGCCACCTCAGAAAGCTCCTCAGCCAGGACGCCTGAGTGACCTGGTACCAAGAGTATTAGCTGACAGACTTCAATAACACGAGTTAAAAACAAAACAAAGGATGTGTCTTCCAAATCTACCCGCGTGATGGTTGGTGGAACTTGATAGAATCCCGAATCACATGGGAGATGGGGCTGCCTGTGGAGACGGAGGTGAGAAGAAGATTGGCCGTCCACGGGCACCATTCCCTGCCCGGGGTCTTGGACTGTGTGACTGGAGACAGAGCAGAGCAGCAGAGCTCTCTGCCTCCAGATTGTGGGTACAGTGTGACCAGCTGCCTCCTTTACTCCCCACGGTGGAGGACTCTGCCCTTTAGCTGTTCCCCAGGATGGACCCTATTGTCCTCAAGCTGCCTTTGTATCTGATCACAGCAACAGGAAGTAACTAAGGCAGTCTGATTGATTTGACCCTCCGGGTCAAATCCTAAGGCTTTATGCATCTCAAACACAGTCTGTTACCAAGCTGCAATACAACCCCACCAAATATTTTTTTTAATATATTTACATTTCTTCTGGGAATAAGCCAGATGCTAAATTACATCCTTGTGGGACATCTATTCAGTGTACACAGATACAGTATCTTGTCTAAATATTCAATAGTTCCACGAATATGATAAAATACTGTTTTCTCTTTTCTGAACACCCGGGGTGCAGGGGAAACCAAAGCTTAGAAACTCTGATCCCCTATTGCGTAAAGAGAAGCTACCAGAAGCATTTTTTTTTCTGAGATAGGGTTTCTCTGTATAGCCCTGGCTGTCCTGGAACTCACTCTGCAGACCAGGCTAGCCTAGAACTCAGAAATCCGCCTGCCTCTGCTTCCCAAGTTCTGGGATTAAAGGCGTGTGTCACCACTGCCTGGCCTACCGGAAGCATTTTATTCCCAGGCTCCTAATCAAACACAACGCTCTCCTGAGAGCCCGTGAGCTCAGGGCTCAGTGGTGGAACAATTCACAGTGCCGATGAGAAAAAAAAAATTATAGATGCTTTAAGAGGAATGGCTTAGCCTCCCAGACAGATGAGGGCGGAAGAGAGACACAAGCCTCAACCAAAGCTCGAGGCTCAGCAAAAGCAGACCGCAGACAAGGCAAGGAGTTGCTCAGGGGTTCTTAGCTGCAGTAACACGCTGGCACCAGTAGGTGGCGCCACAGCAGCTGCATCCCATTGGAGATTGCTTTCTGGCCACATGGAGGTTCCGCAAAGAGCCCGCCTCTTCACTTAGGCTGAGATGCAAAAGGGACTAACATTTTCTGCTGCTTTGACATGCAAGAGTGCAGAACCTAAGAATGGAAGTGAGTGGATGGATGGATGGATGGATGGGTGGATGGGGGGTGGGTGGACAGATGGGAGAATGTGAAGAAAGAAGAAAGGAGGATAAAATATAGAATGAGAAAAAAGAAAATTGGACCCAGACCTGCTCCTGGGGAAGCCACTTACACATGTGGTGGTAGTTCAAAGAAATTGACCCCTTGATAAAGTTCCATCTGGCTGGCAGTGTAGATTCCCAGCTCCTGGTACGGATTCACAGACACAAGCAGCGTCCCGATATACGTCTGAAGGAAGGGACAAACGTCATATGTGAGGAATTGAGGGTACAGCTAGTGTCCCACACTCTGACCACCGGACACTGACTCCAGGCTGGGGATGTCATCCAACAAATGTCAGCTGTGCGCTCTGCTGACGGGGAGCTTGTGTGCAGGGGGTGGGGGTGGGGTGAGAGCGGACGAGCAGCTCAGGCACAAGGCTACGTCAGAGAAGCCTTCAGGGGTGTGCAGAGGGCAGCAATCAGGAAGGACTGCATTAGCTGTGGGCTTCCAGAAGCTTCGTTTGAGGAGTGGACATCTGTGCAGAAGCTTGAAGGTTAAAGAGCTAGCCATGCCCAGGAAGTGAGCTTTAGGATGAAGGGTCCAGAGGGGAAAGCTGACAGTCCTCAGCCAGTGCAGGTAGAGGCTGTGGGTGTGAGGAGCTGAGAGAAGGGAGAGAGGCAGCAGAGAGAAGATTCTGGCTGGGCCCATGCCTCAGCCTGCAGGAGCGGATGTTATGTTCTGAATACAATCAGTGACAGAGAGGTGCTTTCTCTGATGAAAGGAAGACTAGCCCCTGCTACTATCTCATGAATGAACGCCCCTAGGTGGAGTGCCCGGTCCCAGTTAATGCTCCACAGTCCTCTCCGTGAGCACTGTCTGAACACTGGGGCAAGCTTGCTTACCGGCGCCCTAGAACCGCACACAAGCTACCCCAGCATTTCTCCAGGTTTCCGCTGTTCATCTTTGGTCTACACACTGACAAAAGACCCCTTGGAATACAGTCATGAACAGAGTGCCAGAGGTCTTCGTGTCAAACCAAAACATGTGTGTCCCTTTGAAAATACACGGGGGTGTTTTCAGATTCTGAATTTGTTCTTTCACCCCACTGAGGGGCAGAAGTCTCTATCATGGGTGTTCACATTGGTGCCACTAATGTCTCTAAACACTAGGACAAAAATCAGCTGGAGATACGGAACAGAGAGGAGTGTTTTGATTAAAAAACAGAAAGGAAAAAAAAACCCAAAAATCTCCATTCCTTTAATCGATGCAATCAGTGACCTTGAGATCCGAAAGTCCTTGTGTCTCTGAAGTTTCCGCACTGAAACTGGCAACTTTCGGTCTAACCCTGATGTCTCTGTTATCCTGTGTGATTTACACTTTGCTTGTACAGAAACTTTGTTTCCATTTTTACAGTTAAGGGTGATAATTCTGAAAGTCAGTGGATGGAACACATAATTTAAGAAATATTTTTTCTAATAACCTTGGTTTCAACACATTGATTTATAATGCATATTATATATAATATACATATTATATCTAAGTATAAACAATAATATATAATTATGTATTAATATAATGAATAGATAAACATATTATCTATATTTCTCTCTCTCTCTCTCTCTCTCTCTCTCTCTCTCTGTTTTTTTGGTTTTCTCGAGACAGGGTTTCTCTGTGTAGCCCTGGCTGTCCTGGAACTCACTCTGTAGACTAGGCTGGCCTCGAACTCAGAAATCCGCCTGCCTCTGCCTCCCCAGTGCTGGGATTAAAGGCGTGCACCACCACCGCCCAGCTTATATTTCTCATTATAAGACAAATATTTTTGTTTCTGCTAGAGATCCAACCTAAGGTCCTATGCAGACTAGGCAAGACAAAAACAATCTTTTAGTAAAAAGCTGCTTTCTTTGTCTTTGAAGACTTAGCAGTACAGAGGTGATGTCTTATATTTCATGTCTGGCATCTAGTCTCCTTGCTCCAAATGATTAAGAATTCCTACTGTCCCAGCTTTTGCTCAAAGATGCTGGGACTGTGCTGTGTGTCTTCTCCAGACTTGGCTTTTAACCCCTTCCTGTCTGTGTGGATTGGCTGAGAGAGACAGGCTCTGGACCCAAGAGGAGCTGGTGTGAGCCAGCGCCTCATCTGGACCACTTAGGGATATCTCCCGGAAGATGCTGCTCCTTTCCTGCAAAGATGCTAAGCTGAGGAACCGGCTGTCATCCTGCCACTCAGCAAAGAGCAGTTACACCAGGAGGAATCGGCCTCAGAAGAAGGCAGAGCAGCGGCTGCCAGAAACCCTGGTCCGTTCCTGTATCCCAAGCTATGAAAATGATGGCACGTCCCCTGTGGCGCATGTCTGTCCCGGCTGGGTGGAGAGCGCCCCCTACAGGCCATGTCAGTGGTGCGGTCATTCCTGGTCATCCAGGCTGTGCACCGAGAACAGACAGACAGACAGACAGACAGACAGACAGACAGACAGACAGACAG